CGTGCAAGGTCGACCTGTTCTTCCCAGGCCTTGGCCATCTGATAAGCACCGGGGCTTTTGAAACCAGCATCAACAGGCAAGGACTGAGGTGTTGTGGGCTGCTGCCCCGTTGCTAACTCGAAGGGACTCTTCCCTGTTGCCTCGCTACGCTGCAGGTTATAAGAGAATTGGGCAGTGTCTAGCAGCCTCGCCCAGTCTCTTTGATTGGCACTAACATAGTGCCTTAGGTAGCACTCCAATAGTGCATTTGTTCTCTCCGTCTGGCCGTCCGTCTGAGGGTGGAAACTGGTTGAGAAGTGCAGCTCCGACCCTAGCAAGCTAAACAGCTCCCTCCAAAACGAACCTATAAACCGGGGATCACGGTCGCTGATGATGTGTCTAGGAATGCCCCAGTATTTGACAACATCACGTAGGAAGGCCCTGGCAGCTTCCTTGGCTTTGCAGTTGGCCGTTGTGGCGGTGAACGTCGCATATTTTGAGAAGCGATCCACCACGACCATAATTGTTCCGAAGCCCTCTGAGTTTGGCAAACAGGTTATAAAATCCATGGTGACGCTGTCCCAAGGCTTTTCAGCAATGGGCAGCGGCTCCAGCAATCCGCCCGGTACCTTTGTCTCAACTTTGTCCTGTTGGCAGACAAGGCACGTTCGAACATATGCCTCAACGTCATCCCGCATCCGAGGCCAGTAGTATGACGCTTCCAGTAATGCTAAGGTTCTCTTCTGTCCTGGGTGACCAGCCCAAGCAGAATCGTGACCTTCCTTCATCAAGGTACGCCGAAGGCTAGCCCACTTCGGGACGTACACGCGCCTACCTGTTGTATATAGCAGACCGTCTTCCTCCCAGAACTTCTTAGTCTTGCCTTGCTGGGCCAAGGCAAAGAGCTGTTTGGCAACGGGATCATGTTGCAACCCCTGCTTAATGTCCTCAACAATTGAGCTGCTGCTTGAGCTCACAATAGCTGCCAATGAAGCCCTGCGGCTAAGGGCATCAGCCACCACGTTCGCTTTCCCTGGCTTATACTCCAGAGTAAAGTCGAACTCTGCTAAGTAATCTTGCCATCGAGCCTGCTTGGCAGATAGCTTCTTTTGGGTCTGGAAATAGGTCGTCGCGACGTTGTCCGTCTTGACGACAAAATGAGCCCCCAGCAAGTAGTGGCGCCACGTTCTCAGGCAGTGCACCACAGCAGTCATTTCCTTCTCATGTGCTGAGTACCGCTGCTCCGCTTCATTCAGTTTCCGACTCTCATAGGCTATCGGGTGGCCCTCTTGCATTAGGACGCCACCGATAGCGAAGTCTGATGCATCCGTGTGGATTTCGAATGGCTTTGAGAAGTCTGGCAAGGCCAACACAGGCTCTTGCGTCACAGCCAACTTCAGCCTCTCAAAGGCAGCTTGGCAAGCTGCCGACCAATTCCAGGCACGGTCCTTTTTCAGCAAGTCTGTGAGAGGTGCTGCAATTGCGGAATAATTGAAGATGAAGCGCCGGTAGTAATTGGCCAGACCAAGGAAGGACCTCAATTCTGGTACCTTCGTTGGTGCTTCCCAGTTGTTGATAGCAGCTATCTTGTCGCTATCCATTTGAATCTTGCCATGGCTGATAGTGTGCCCAAGGAAACGGACAATTGGTTGTGCAAAACTGCACTTCTCACGCTTCACGTACAGCTCGTTATCGCGCAGAATCTTGAACACCTTGCACAAGTGTTCTACGTGGTCTTCCATGTTGTCGCTGTAGACAACAATATCATCCAGGTAAACCACAACAAACTGGTCCAAGTAGGAGTGGAACAGTCTATTCATCAATGTGCAGAACGTCGCCGGTGCGTTTGTCAATCCAAATGGCATTACCAGCCAATCGAACGCCCCATAACGCGTTACACAAGCAGTCTTCGGCTCATCACCATCGGCAATCCGAACCTGATGATAGCCTCTCCTCAAATCCATTTTGGTGAACACCTTCGCCTGTCCCAACCGGTCAAATAAATCTGCAATCAAAGGCACGGGATATTTGTTCTTTACCGTGACCTTATTGAGAGCCCGATAGTCGATGCACAATCGCAGCGTCCCGTCCTTCTTCTTTTGGAATAGCACAGGTGCACCAAACGGTGCCTTAGACGGCCGGATGTGTCCAGCGTCCAGCAACTCCTTGAGCTGCTTTCTTAGCTCTTCTAGTTCCGGAGGCGCCATTCGATAAGGTGTCATGGCAGGCGGCTTTTCCCCTGGAACTAGTTCAATTTGATGGTCGACTTCCCTCCGGGGCGGCAGCCGTTGGGGAAGTTCTGCTGGCATAACGTCCTTGTTGGTGTCAAGGACGTGCTCGATGCAAGGCGGCAATGGAACTGCCTCATCGCAGCTCCCAGTGTCTTCAATCAGGGTGGCAATAAATGTTGGCTCGCCTCTTTTGAACCCCTTTATGATCTGCATCGCTTACAAATGCATTCCAGTTTGTGGTACCCGAATAAGGGGTACCACGCAAGACCCTCCAACGTCGCTAATGTGTAGCTGATTATGACGCGGCGAGATGAAGGCATTGACTTCATACCAAAAGTCAAGTCCGAGGATGACATCAAAAACATCCATTGGCGCTATCGTAAAATCAGTCTGCCCAGCCCATTCTCCTAACTCAATTGGAACTGCAGCCGCAAAACCATTAACAGTAGTAGGAGTGGCGTTAACGGTCTTCAGCTTGGTATTGCTGGCAACATAATTTAGACCCAACTCCTTGGCCTTCTGCTCAGTCACAAAATTGTGAGTTGCCCCTGTGTCTACCATGATCCGCACGTCGCTACCGTTTAGTTTGGCATCGACGAACAATGACTCACGAGGTCTGACTCCAATTGGTTTGGCAGCCAGGGCAGCAATGGAGATATGGCTGATCAGCGCCATGTGATTGAACATGCCTACGGCCACGTTCTTGCCTTTGTCAGCTCCGCTACTCTGCCCACGTTTCTCACTGGCAGAAGTTCCTGCTTGCGCTGCAGCCTTCTCTTGCTGCTTCTCAGCAGCTACCATGGCACTCAGCTTCCTCAAAGATGGGCAGTACCTGGCAGCATGGGTTGTCTCCCCACATATGTAACAGCCTTCCCTCTGAGGAGCACCCCTCTTGCGATCCTCATAATTTTTCCGGAAGTTAGAAGACTGATCACAAGCATTGTTCCTCGTGTCGCTGCTTCTGGGATTCTGCCTATTCCTGCCCCTGTTGTTGTTGTTGTCTTTGGGAGGAATAGTTTTGCTCCTGTTATCCCTCCCTTTGGCAGCATCACCACGGAAATCATTGAGCGATTCCGCCACTACGATCGCCTCATCAACGTCACGCACTTGACGCCTTTGCAGCTCTTGCTTGGCCCAATTTTGAAGGCCATCAAGGAAATAGAACAACAAGTCCTCACTCGTCAAACTCGGAATCTGGAGTGTCAACTTCGTGAACTCCTTAACATAATCCCGGATGGAGGAAGTCTGCTTTAACTCCCTCAATCGCCTGCGAGCTTCGTGGACGACGTTCTGGGGATAGAACTGCCGTTTGAGCTCAGTTTTAAATTGCTCCCAATCATCAATTTGGAAAGCCCCTCTCTCCATATCAGCCTTTTTTCGTCGCCACCACAGCATGGCTGTGTTCGACAAGTACATAGCCGCTGTCCGGATCTTGGCTGTTTCAGTGTGCATGTCAACATGTTCGAAATATGACTCCATTTGCCATATGAAGTTCTCTACGTCCTGAGCACTCCTCTCCCCTCAAAACTCTTTGGGTTTAGGAGCCTCAATCCGGG